ACTATGGCTAATTAACACAAATATAAAAGAAACGTAACAGATAGGGTGTAGTGAGTAGGACCAACTAAATTGCAATAATATCATCATTAATGCTCGGAAATTTGAAAGGTTTTCTAAAATAACCTTTTCAAGCTCTTGACTAAAAGATATCAGCACTACACTGCATTTCATATTGTAAGCTGACCATGGAAAACTAGATGCCTAACAGGAAAATCTATTTGTCCCAGACAGATCAAAGACAGGATCTTTATTAAAGCCTAAGAAATCTTTATACTGATACTGTAGAGATAACAGGGACTTGTACATGTGATAAGAACCTGCATGCTTTGTCAAGACTATTAACTACTAATGCATGAGATAACATGTCTTGTCTTTACCAACCTTCAGACCAGGACAGTGACCATACCAAGCAGCATAACACTGTGAATGCTGAGCAGCCACCCCTGCTGCAGCACCATTAGGACCTCTGAATACAATAGGGACTGGTACCTACACATTAACAATAGAAGAACAACACTACAATTTTAATGTTGAATCATCGGATGGTCAGTTGCTTGTCTAAACTTAAGAAAGTTACTCAACATTTCAATGTATAATTATTGAATTTCCGTGATTTTCACTCTTAATAATGATGTTCGAAACATTGAAACGTCAAGTAGCATTCTTAAGTTTGATTTTAAATGTTGAATTATTTAGCTTAATATTTTTTACTGAGCATCACAAGATTAATAATTCTTGTGCAGCCTAAATTGCTGGACTAATTGCTAACAGGACTTTGAGCAAACAGCTCAACAAGTTTGTCAAAATTTATATTACAAATGTCTCTGATAATTCACTTAGCCACATAAAACACACATTGTCAGTCTAACTCTAAGATTCCATCTGTCACCTACCCCTTAAAGAAGGTATAAGAGAAAAAAAAGTTATTGAGCCCCCACCATCATTCCCCCCTGCCCCTCCTTATATTAAATAACATTATTATCACAAATTACTAACTCATTGATCAAAGTATCTAATGGTACAATTTGTAATGAAAATAATAATCTTTTTTTTCAAATTCATTTGATATAGTACAAATGTACATATCAAACATTACAATAACTGTAAGATTACAATGTAATGTAACCAGGGCACTTACAGTAAGAATTTCTCATAATTATGTTTGAAACTAAGCATTCTGAAAACACTTCTCTTAAAACATTCAGTGTTAATCTATGATATCTGTGTACTGCTTAGTCTTAATCTAGAGAAGGGTGCTTTAACTTGGGGAAACATAGGGTACAAAGAGTGGAATAACACTCAGATCTGCGTTAGGAACATTCCCTCCTCTCATCTAAAACAGAAATTAAAGGGCTTCATGCAAAAACAATGGGACCAAGGCTCATTTTTGCATGAAGCCCTTGAATTAGAGCACCAAACCTCCAGTATGGTTCTTCCTCCTTCTTTACTTACAGCACTGAATACCCCCCCCCCCCCTTTCCCTCTTTATATTTTCACAACCTCCATTAAGTGCCTGGAAAAAATAATAACCCCCCACCTCCCCCCCCAAAAAAATGCTTAACAAAGGATTAATTACAGTATTTCTTTGATTATACTCTACCTGACCAGCAGACATGTAGAATGTTTTTGCTGCAGAATTAATGACCTGCAACACAAAGGAGGTCTATTAGTATGACCACACTTTTCATAAAAATGTCCTCTCATAAAACATCTTTTTGGAGACTAAACTTTAGAGATTTATTATCAGGCAGCCACTGTCAAACACATTTAAAAGGTTTTCCTTCAACATGCACTTGTCATTAGAAAAAAAATATTCAGGTTGAGATTTTTTAACCTAGGTTGTTTCTCAATTTCCTTTGTCTCCTAGCCCTAGTTCATGAATTAGGGCTAGGAGACATAGAAAATTAAGAATCAACCTAGGTTAAATCAAAATTAAGCTGAAATCAAATTTGATCAGTGACAAATACATTATTCACATTGTGACCACTAAAACAACTGTTGAGCACTCTTTCTAGAATCTATTTAATATTGAATTAAAAATAATATCAAGATACATGTAAACAGTCAAATTACTATCCATTCATTTTTTTATATCGGAATAAACAAATGTATTGAAATTGGAATTACATATCATTAAAGTCTGACCTGGTCAATGGCCTGCATTGCAAAATTAAAGGTCATGAATTCACAGATAGGTCTAAGGCCAGCCTGAAGCATAACATGAAAAAAAAAACATTACTAACATATAACAAATTATTAGTGTTATTGTTGGTTGCCCTCTTTATCAGGTAGACCATTTAACAGGAAGCATTAACTCACCATAGCAGCTCCCACTGCAATTCCAGCAAAACCCATCTGAAATGAGCATACATACAGTAGTTAGAAGGAGGTACTTTATTACAAGTCATGCATATGTTGTGGTTCAATTTTATCCTTGGTTTAAATTTTATTTTCTTTTGTTTCAAACTCATTATCATACATTACCATACCCAAAGACAAAAGAAAATAAAATTTAAACCAAGGATAAAATTAAACCACAAGACATACATTGTAAGAGCAATGCATACCCTGTAAAATATCACTGACTTACCTCACTGATGGGTGTGTCCACAATCCTCTTGTCACCAAACTTTTGCCAAAGTCCTCGACTCACCTGAAAAGGAAACAGCTCATATAAATCAACCATGCAAAAAACAAATGCAGAACAAAATGAGAGGCAAATTGGGCCACTTATCTTGTTAACAAATGAAATATGCCAAAAATTTACCTTATATGCACCATCATACATAGCAACCTCTTCACCTAATAAGAACACTCTTTCATCCCTCTTAATCTCCTCTTCCATAGCAGAGTTTAAAGCATCTCGAACTGTCATCTGTTAGAAAAGGTAAAAATAGCTTTAATTTTGATTTTTGCAGTACTATAGAGGTTTTAGTGACTTACATCAAGATCTTCTCTGATTTGCTACTTTTTATTATTGCGACTGTCATCTTTATTAGAAAAGTTTAATCAAAAATAGTTCATATGATAGCTTTTGAATTTTGATTTTTAATCTAGCAGTACTATAGAGTTTATTCAGTGACTTATTCAAGATCTCCTCTGATACACTTGTTTTTACCAAATAAATATGATGAGTTTTTAAGCTGAACATGTTCCAAGTGCCCTTTCTTCAAAAAACTTTTTGGCCACATTAGCATGAGATTCACTCATTTTCAGGTCATTTCCAGTTCAAACTTTGGATAGCACTATCCACTAGATAAATCATCATCCAGCAGATACTGTGAGTATCAGGGAAACTAATAATAATAATTATTGTGTTCTACTAATAATAACTAGATAGTTTAGGTAGTTTTTAGGTAGTTTTTAGTAGTCTCTATCCACTAGATAAATCATCATCCAGCAGATATTGTAAGTATCAGGGAAACTCACAATAATAATTATTGTGTTCTACTAATAATAATAATGTGTTATCCATTGGATAGAGATTTCCCCATTTGATAGAGTGCATTATCCACCTTTCGAAAAACTGGGCCCTGAGGTGTGAATGAAATATTTCATCTTTACCTTCCTCGAATTTTCTCTTGTATGTAATATATCTTGGAATTCATGATATATATATAAAGCTCCACAACCCTCAAACAGTGTGTATGGCAGAGAAAAGTGACTTAAGTGTAATAATTTTACCAGATTAATATTTACATGTTTTAGTCAGTGACAGTGTGTGTGGCCCAGTGGTCTGGTAGCTGTCTTCCCGCACATGAGGTAGTGATGGTGCAGGTTTATATTTTTAGCAAAAAAATTAAATCAAAATCAACACAAACACCTGACATGAACAGTTTGAGAATAAGCTGTGTTGCTCCCCCTCCCCTCATTTGATAGTCATTTCTAACCATGACAAAATATCCATATTGGGCCATTTCATTTCATACCCCTCCCCCCCGCTCCCATCAAGATACAAAAAGGTTAAGGTGGGGAGACATCTCCCTGTCTCTCAAGGAGCAAGGAATCAACACTGGAATGGCCTATTACAATTCATAGTTTTCCTTGTAAATAAAGCCCATAATAGTGGATTATGAAAAAATATTGGCTAACGAGACAGTTTGAAATCATTCGAGATCAGCCTCTCCATTACTGTTGCCCTGTCAAAACCCACTAAGCTTCTCTATGTTATTAGCTACAGCGTAGGGATCGACTTCATTAGGAAGCTATATTGAACCCTCTCACCCAAAATATAACAAAACCAATAAGCTTAGTCGCAAAATCTAATATAGAAAGAGAAAAACGAATGAGATCAGTGTAAAGTGCTTTCTACAGGTTAACTTTGAACTCACTGTGGCAGCCACGCGAGGTGTTGTGCCAAAAGCATTCCGGCAAATCTTGGCAAGGGCACCCTATTTAAACGAGACGGGAATCAAATGAGGTTTAGCTAATCCAAGACACTCTGTGTTGCGTTTGAAATATCGGGTTTACCTTGCTTGAGATACGTAAAAAATTACTACACAGGGCCATTCCTCCTACTCCTTTCGAAGATATTAAACCAATCTCCTAACTACGCAGACAAAATTTCCACTTGAACGCATATTTTACAGTTGTTGTTGTAATCGCGGGCTCAAGTAGGAAACGAGATTTAAAATTTTCACTGATCGCGATTCGTTTTTTTATACGACGTTGAGCAAGCTTGATCCTATACACTTTTTGCAATGGTTTTGCACCTCAACTATGTCTTTTCCCTTGAGTCCATTTACTGCCCAACAGAAGCATATGCTTCTGCTCCCATACATTCTCTCTTCCTTCTCTCTTACTTTTCACACATGCCATCTCAACATTCCACAGTCCAGAGGCCCTGGGTCAGAGCAGGGTCAGAGCGGAAATGAAAAGAATTACGCAAGCGCACGAGAAGTCTTGACGTGGCTGAGTTCTCGTTGTCGGTGATCCATCCACGCGAAAATAAAGAAGATTTTGCCGTGGAATTACGCTCACTTTAACCTCTATATAGCAACATGGGGCTCACTCTTTCATCCGTATTTGCTCGGCTTTTCGGAAAGAAAGCAATGAGGATATTAATGGGTAAGAAATACTGAATTCTTTGCCCCGATCGATCATCGTTCGAGTTATTATACGTCAGTCATATTTACGCCGGTCTTTTGAACAGTTTTTTCCTCTTAATTTAAGACGCGTTTCTTTGTTGTTCGAGGTTTAGCATTTATTTTCCTGTTTTATACATTGACTCTTTATAGCCTAGCCTTTTATGTATAGTTTACCTTTAAAATAACTAAGACCATACAACATTCAAATAGAGTAGCGTGTCCCTTTGGGTTATTTGTCGGTATGATAGAGGCCAGTAAGCTTGATTACAATGTCACGTTCAGTGATTTTGTACCAGCCTGCTGTCATTAAACAAAACATAAAACCTAGAGATATTCTTAAAATTTACATCTCTTTAGTGAATTTTAGTGTACCTCATCCGTGTTAAAAATGGAAAAGAGCCACCCTGTCATCAATTTTACCCTGTGTTTCACACATGTGATTCCTTGATACTTAACACAAATGGTTCACCTTTTAGCTACGGTGGAACTTCAATTTCATGATGAAGGGCCAAGGGACCTTCCAAATCTGTTCGCATAAACAGGGTTTCATTATATCCAGGTTCTTTTCCATACATTTTATTATAACTGGGGCAGAGAATATTGTTTGTTAGTAAAATCCAACTAGTGGTCTATTATCAATGCGGCATTCTGATTGGTTGAGCTACTACTAGCCTATATGTTATATCCCACCAGTAGCGAAAAGTGGCGGCTTTGAAAACCAAAACAATGGAGGCTGAATCTGGTTTTGCTAGCTAAAGTTGTTTTTGTCTGTTTTGTCTTCGTAAAATCCAACTAGTTGGTCGAAAATAATATTTTGGCCAACTAGTTGGATTTTACAAAAACAATTATGGTAAAATTCCGAAAATAAGCCCCGGGGCTTATATTTTTCAAAGGCCTTTTTGGAGGGGCTTATTTTTGAAGGGGCTTATCTAGGGAGGGAAATTTGCGTTTCAAAATCGATTGGGCCATCCTTATAGCTGGAAGTAAATTTAGCATTTTTGCTTTGTTTTACTTTGTATTTGAGGGCAATTTTCCGATTACAAGCCCCCCGGGGGGCTTATATTTGGAGAGGCGATTTAACGGAGAGTTTTTTGCATTACCGGTTTAGGGGGCTTATATTTTTGGAGGGGCTTTTACATGGAGGGGCTTATTTTCGGAATTTTACGGTATTATTCCTCTCGTCCTCATGGCCTCTGAGTCAATAGCCCATTCAGGCTTGAGGAATAATTGTTAATTATATCAAGGACTTCTTTATTCTTTATATTAAGGGCTCATTATATTGAGGTTCCAAGTTGTACTCGGTGAGCGCAGGCTACTTTTTTGTGGTATCTGCTGGTATACAAAAAGGGGTGCACTAGCTTTTATGGCATACACGGGGATTTGCCACTGGACAGGGTATGGTTTTTGTCCTCTCTGTTTTAAACAGGGTATATAATGTGTGAGTCTGTACTAATTATAAATCCCATTGATTTGATTTGTTCATACTACAGTTGGCCTTGATGCAGCTGGTAAAACAACTATTTTATACAAGCTAAAACTGGGAGAGATAGTTACTACTATTCCTACAATTGGTAAGTTCTGACAGACTTTTCGAATCATTTAATGTCATTTTAAAACATGTACATGTTTACATGTAAGTGCCAGTTACTTTAAAATTATTATTATGTTAACTGAAAGAACACATTACTGCAAGACCTTCTGCCAAAAAAGTTTGCATTTGAACAAAATGAAGGGGTTTTACATGAAATTTTTAAATTTCTTTGGCACCTCCTTCCCGCTGATCACAAAATGACATGCTCATAATGATAAGAATGTGAACAGGGGTTGCCCCAGGGAGATGTTGAAGTTTTGAATCGATCGGCGCGTTACATGAAGTCCTTCTGCATGAAAGTGATACTTAAAGAAATAAGAAAACTGAGTGTCCTAGAGGAACACCGAACACCAATGTGAGACAAATCTCATAGTTATGGTGTGGCAAAGGACCCTAAATTCATAGCGGACAATGATACACATGTTCGTAGCAACCTTGTCATCTCCATGGAAGCAGATTGACCTTGGGAATGAGGTTGAAATCCAAGAACAGGTACATGTTAACTTGTTAACCACGGTGTGTGGTTAGTAGAAGGAAAACTTTGCTCCCAATGAAGGGAAAAGGGGAAAATAATTGACATTGATGATTTTGATAAAGTTGAACAGGGAAAGAAAGCAAATCTTTAAATTGATATTGTCTTCAACAGGATTCAATGTGGAGACAGTAGAATACAAAAATATTTCCTTCACTGTGTGGGATGTTGGTGGGCAAGACAAAATCAGGCCTCTATGGAGACACTACTTTACAAACACACAGGTACAGTGTATAACGTGCCAATTTATGACACTCTGCTGTTTTGTGGTTAAACTCTCACAGGGTATCTGGCAATAATTGTGCTAGAAACAGGTACAGTGTAGGGCATCAAAACCGTTTGCTGTTAAGATTCATTGTAGATCACTAGTAGTGATATCCCAACAATGGCTTATTGTACTTAGAATAAATTGTTATCTTTCTGCAGTAATGGTGTGTTGTTTTTACTTGTCACATTTTGTCATTAAATGTCACAAGGGATGTTGCTGCTTTAGGTTAATTCCGTGTTGGAAGTCATTACTTACATGTAGTGCCCTTACCCATGCATAAAATGCTCCTGTATGCTTCTGTGTCCCGCTTCAAAAGTTACTTGTTGGTCAACTTGCAAGCACATGGCTGGTATTTCACTTTCCCTAGCACTGTCTAATTTCATATTTTATTCTTATTTTTGTTCTACCTTTTCAGGGCTTAATATTTGTTGTAGACAGCAATGACAGAGAAAGAATAGAGGAAGCTAAAGATGAACTGAGCAAAATGGTAAGACCAGCAATAATGCTTTCTTTTAAGTTGTCAACTTAATGTTGAGCTTCTTTTGACCACAGTTTAGAAACCTACTTATGATGTTAACAGCTGCAAAAAGTGCTCAAATCAATGCACCACACCACGAATTAATGAACCTATAACATTATTGGTGACTTCTTTATCCTTAATTTAATTTATCCTGTGAGGCAATGCAACCTCAAGGTTGGCTTTTCATCAGCCTTCCATACCCTATAAATAATGTCAATCTGGTACAATGTAGATTGTTCAGGTTCCCTATTTTTCCATAAGATAATTGAGATCAAGCACTCACTGTCATGGACAGCCATTTTTTAACTGTTTTCATATGTACCGAGGGGAGAGGTGTCAGGTTTCTAGTGTCCCCTGCCCCCTAAGTAGATGAGATTGTCATCTTCAAGCTTGACCTGGTTGAGGTGGCAACCTGTTGCACTCATTCTCAACAATCTTACAGAAAAAAAAAATAGAGGGGCTGTGAACAGTCCATCAAGCTGGAGAAATACACAACAAGTTGTTTAGATTTTTCTTTGCCTCTCTTTTTTAAATTACTGTGCTGCTTTTCTTGTTGTTGTGCTTTCATAATTCATTAACTATTGTGCAGTCATGGAGATTTTAAATTATTGCCATTAAAATCTTTTATTAACAGCTTCAAGAAGAGGAACTACAGGAGTCACTTTTACTGGTGTTTGCAAACAAAAGCGATTTGCCAAATGCCTTCAGCTGCAGTGAAATAACAGACAAACTGGGACTTCATTCCTTAAGAAACAGAAAGGTGAGAACTTCTCCTAGTACCACCTTATCTATCACATCAGGGAGAATTGCCGCCATCAATTCAGCTGTAACAGAAAATGAATATTATTTTATAAAATAAGCTCCTCTTCAGACTGAAATTAGGACAAGTCAAACTAGTGGTTATGTGATTATACCCTTTGGCTCTACTATTTGCTGTTTGCAATAAACATGTGTTTTACAGAAAATAGCACTTTTGTTTGCAGTTCCAGGCGGTCAGATAGCCTAATATGAGTGCGTGATCTGGGAAAAGGGGGCAGTGGCGACCATTTTATTTTTGTGTTCATGCTCTCTCAATTTCACGGAGCAGATTATCTCAGAGCCTGGAACAGGCGAGAGTATTATTAAATATGTTATTCTACTCTTCCTTGTCAAAAACTTCTCTAATGCTTAAACAGTCAAGAATGGTGTGAGGGAAAAGAAGAAAAATTGAAACTCATTTGTTTAACTTTTTTTGTTACACCTTTAGTGGTATGTTCAAGCCTCATGTGCTACCCAAGGAACTGGCTTGTATGAAGGACTGGACTGGCTCTCAAATGAATTGTCAAAGTGATCTTTCTACACAGAAACATAGAGTTTTTATATTGTAAACTGCTAAATGACACCAACTTACTGTATTTCTGAGATCGGGGTTA